CACCTTCCCTTGAACTTAAACCATTGCCAAGCCATTTGAAGTATGTTTTCTTGGGAGATCAAGAGACCTTGCCCGTCATCATATCCTCCTCACTCACGGCACAAGAAGAAGGTAAGTTAGTGAGGGTGTTAAAGGAGTACAAAACCGCCATTGGTTGGACCTTGGCCGACATCAAGGGAATAAGCCCGACTACGTGCATGCATCGTATACTTTTGGAGGAGGGGTCCAAAGCATCTCGAGAGGCTCAACGCCGACTCAACCCTCCAATGATGGAAGTTGTGAAGAAAGAGATAATCAAGCTCTTGGATTGTGGAGTGATCTATCCAATTTCGGATAGTCAGTGGGTGTCTCCGGTGCAATGTGTTCCAAAGAAATCCGGAGTAACTGTGGTGACAAATGCCGAGAATGAGCTTGTTCCTACGCGAATCCAAACAGGTTGGAGGGTTTGTATTGACTATAGGAAGCTTAATGCCATGACAAGGAAAGATCATTTTCCCTTGCCATTCATTGATCAAATGCTTGAAAGGTTAGCAGGTTATGCTTTTTATTGTTTTCTTGATGGATATTCAGGTTATAATCAAATTGTGATAGCTTCGGAAGATCAAGAAAAAACCACTTTCACATGCCCTTTTGGTGCATTTGCTTATCGTCGTATGTCATTTGGTTTATGTAATGCACCTGCCACATTTCAAAGATGCATGATGAGCATATTTTCAGATTATGTTGAGAAAATTATTGAGGTTTTTATGGATGATTTCAGCGTTTTTGGTGATTCATTTGATGGTTGTTTAAATAATCTTAGTTTGATTTTAAAACGATGCGTTGAAACTAACCTTGTGTTAAATTGGGAAAAATGTCATTTCATGGTTAAACAAGGCATAGTTTTAGGTCATATTATTTCTGAAAAAGGTATTGAGGTAGATAAGTCAAAGATAGATCTTGTGTGTCACTTACCCTCTCCTACTTCGGTTAGAGAGGTTCGTTCGTTCCTTGGACATGCAGGTTTTTATAGGAGGTTCATCAAGGATTTCTCGAAGGTCTCCCAACCTTTATGCCGCCTCCTACAAAAAGATGCACCTTTCAACTTCACCAAGGAATGCACGGCAGCTTTCCAACTCCTTAAGGACATGCTAACCACGGCACCCATCATTGTGCCACCGGATTGGAGCCTTCCATTCGAGCTAATGTGTGATGCATCCGACTACGTGTTAGGAGCTGTGTTGGGCCAAAGGAAGGACAAGAAGCCGCATGTCATCTACTACGCACCTCGGACGTTGAATGACGCTCAATTGAACTATTCCACTACTGAAAAAGAACTTCTTGCCATTGTCTTTGCTTTAGATAAATTTCGATCATATTTACTTGGTACTAAGGTTATTATTTTTACTGATCATGCAGCTTTAAAGTACTTGTTCACGAAGAAGGAAGCCAAACCACGGCTAGTTTGATGGATGCTACTTCTTCAAGAGTTTGACATCGAAATCAAGGACAAAAAGGGAAGTGAAAATGTGGTGGCTGACCACCTAAGCCGCATGATACATGAGGAGGAGCCGTACCCTATTGTAGAAACCTTTCCCGACGAGCAATTGCTATCCATTAAGGTAAGTGAGCCTTGGTATGCGGATTTGGTAAATTATTTGGTGACTAAACAAGTTCCTAACACTTTAAATAGAAACCAACGTGATAAATTGAAAAAAGATGCTAGGTTTTATGTTTGGGATGATCCATACTTGTGGAAATATTGCTCGGATCAGATTATACGTAAGTGTGTGCATGACATGGAATTCACTTCTATTTTAACATTTTGTCACACTTATGCATGTGGGGGACACTTTGGGACACAACGCATAGCCCTTAAGGTTTTAGAATGTGGATTCTATTGGCCAACTTTATTTAAGGATGCTAGAAACTTTTGTATGTCTTGTGATCGTTGCCAAAGAATGGGCAACATTAATGCAAAGGATCAAATGTCGCAAAATGTTATTCTCCCGGTTGAAATTTTTGATGTTTGGGGTATTGATTTTATGGGTCTTTTTCCTTCCTCACATGGTTTCTTGTATATCTTACTTGCTATGGATTATGTGTCGAAATGGGTGGAAGCAAAAGCCACCCGAACTAATGATTCTCGAGTGGTTGCAGATTTCATTAGAACTAACCTATTTGCAAGGTTTGGAATGCCACGAGTGATCATAAGTGATGGAGGATCTCACTTTTGCAATCGAACCATTGAGGCTTTGCTCAAGAAGTACAACGTCACGCATAAGGTTTCAACACCTTATCATCCTCAGACCAATGGGCAAGCTGAAGTTTCAAATAGGGAAATTAAGCAAATTCTAGAGAAAACCGTGGGCCCTACAAGGAAGGATTGGAGTGGACGGTTGGAGGATGCGTTGTGGGCCTATCGCACGGCATATAAGACACCCCTGGGCATGTCTCCATTTCGGCTCATTTATGGCAAACCATGCCATCTTCCCGTAGAATTGGAGCACAAGGCGCATTGGGCCATCAAGACATTCAACATGGACATTGATGCCGTTGGACTTCATAGGAAGCTCCAATTGAATGAATTAGAAGAGATTAGGAACGAGGCGTATGACAACGCTCGAATTTACAAGGAGAAGACCAAGGCTTTCCATGATAAGATGATTCGAGGCAAATCATTCTCCATTGGGCAGAAAGTGCTACTCTTTAATTCCCGCCTTCGCTTGTTTCCTGGTAAGTTACGTTCTAAGTGGGTTGGCCCGTTTGTTATTACTAATGTCTTTCCTTATGGTGCAGTCCAAGTTCAAAGCTTGAAAACAGGACAGGAGTTCAAGGTGAATGGCCATCGAGTAAAACCCTACTATGAGAATTTCGAGGAGCATGTGGTGGATGATGTACCCCTCCATGCCGTGGGTACTACTAGTGAAGCTTAGCATGGCGTATTCGTCCGGCTGGAAGACGTTAAAGCAAGCGCTTCTTGGGAGGCAACCCATGTATTCGACAAGGAGAAGATGGAACTTTCACTCCAAACCCAGATTTGCGTTTCTAAACCCTTCTCTTTGCTGCTTTATTTTGTTATGCTTAGTTGTTTGTGATTTGTTTGCTTTTATGTGAGTCTTTGTGTGAAACTAATTTTAAACCCGCGGCAACGTCTGGGTACTGAAAAACTAGCATGTACTATACCCAAATTTTTTTTTTTGTCGAAAAAAAAACCTTTCTAAAAATAAGCCTAAAACATATATCATGTTTTTTTAACTTGCTTTGACGAGTTAAATCCGATAATTCGAATATGATTCAAATATAATAATTCGATTGCCGAACGTTAGCAATCAAAAAGCCAAAAAAAAAAAAAAAAAAAAAACTGAGTTTGTATGGATTAGATGAATCGTTTACAAATCTAAAGTCAAACCTGAATGAAGCCCGAATACGAATGAATTAATATGAACTTGAATTGAAACTTAATCCAAATTACAAGTGTTAGATTAAGGTTGAGTAGACTTCCCATTAGGGCTGGAAACTTTCCTTGAAAATCCCAAATCAAACAAAAAAAATTGACTCCATACCCAAAATTTCCCAAACCAATAATATCGAAATTTTAGGATTCATACCGAACCGATCACGAACTTTTCGGTACAGAAATCAGAATTACATATTCAATGGTTCATGAATCCCAAACCGAACCCAAAAAAATATATATTTATTTTGGTTACATGCATGTTGAATGTTGAATTTAAGTAGTTTAATAATAAACTACATTAGAAATAGAAGTATGAAATTAAGTAGTTTGGAACTTTCGATCATCAATTTGACTTGGTACGAATGAAATGGTATTTCAATTGATATGAGGTAAAAAGTTTAAATTTCAATCGATATGAAATTGGGAAATAAAATTTTAGGCTGAAAGTCCAATTTTTAGCCCATAGCCCAAAATCTCAAATTTCAACCAAAAAACTCAAAACTAAAAATCCAATCTTGATCCATCTCGAAATGCCAAAAACATTTCGGAAATCCTGAAAATTGGAAATATTGAAATTTTAATTTGAGATTGGTCTTTAAATTTCCATCCCATTTTCGATTTCGAATCTCACACCTAAACCACCCGTATCCGTGTTATGCAATCCACGCATAATTTTGTTAAAAACAAAAAATAAAGAAAAATCAGCACATAATTTTATTTAGGGACGTTTTGATATAAAAACCTCACTTTTAAATGTCATAGATGAAACATCTATTCTTTTTACAAATTTGATTAAATATTTTTCCTACAATTTGGTACTTTAATTTTATTTCATTAGAAATCTATTCACATTAGCATTCCCTCTTTTGCTTCTATTTTTATGCATATGTTATTATGATGATTTAAGATTTTTTTATTTTTTATTAAAATATGTATTTTAGTAAATTAAATAGAATGTAACAAAACTCGTTGTTAGGTACGTTTGGTTATATCGGTACGTTTGATTATAATGGTACATTTAGTTACTTGGTACATTTAAATTTTTGGTCCATTTAGCTTCTTTGTACATTTGAATCTTTGGTACATTTATTTTCAAAACATAAGTTTTATTACTTTTTGTCCTAATAACGAGGAATTACTTTAATTAATTATTTTTTTTATAGAAAGAGTCGTTAACAATGTAGAAGTTTAAATTACTTTAATTAATTTTTTTTTTATAGAAGGAGTCATTAATCAATGAACAATAGCCTTTTTGTTAATTAAAAAATTATATGATTTATCGTTATTATTTAGCATTATCTACAATAATAAGGATTTATCTCTGATGAACTAAAAGTTATTCTGGAGACTTATTTACCAAAAACCAAGACTATCTAGAGAATTGTGTATGGATCAAACATATTTTTAAACATTCCAAAAACATGAATAATCATTTTAATATAATTTATAATTAGGTACGTTTTAATTTAGGTTGGTACGTTTTCGTTTGACGTTGGTACATTTTTACTTTCTACCCACCATTTATTAGGTTCTGTTTTTTAATTTTCTTTAACTCTTTCCACGATTTAATTTCATTTCATTTTCGCCTTCCATTTTCGTTTCACTTTTGCCGCCTTTTAACTTGCCTTCCCTCGTCGATCTGTGCTACAAGTCACCGGTGAGCGCACACTGCTCAAACTGCGCACCACCCCCTACCCCCGTCTCTCTCTGTGCGACTGTGGAGCAGACAAATTCTGGAGCAGACAAACTGAATTGGCAACTTCAACCGGTAGGTCTCTTCTTCTTCTCCAAGCTTTGCCTTTAATTTTCGTAAATTCAGAAGCAGAATAGTTGCAGTGCTGGAAATTTGAAACCCTAGAACGAAATCTAGTTTCGTAGACTGCGTATATATATGGTATTAGCTAGGGTTTGAGTTCATACAGAACTTGTTAGTCTCTTCTCTCTCTCTCTCTCTCTCTCTCTCTCTCTCTCTCTCTCTCTCTCTCTCAAGCACGCTTGGGTAGAAATGGAGGTCCGACCCGAGATGTTTGTGATTTAGCCTTGTTGAAATGGATAATTTCTGTTTTCTGGTGGATCCCATTTTTGTGAAGCAAAATTGTTCGGGATGGCCGCAAAGTACTTCCACTGTGCTAATGGGGCAGTGAAGTATTATTATTTGGGTTATAGGTTTGGAATAATAATTGTCGATTTTCCAAGCAATGCTTCCCGTTTGTGTTAAAATTACTTCTCGAATGCTAATTGTGAAGCCACTAACTCATGATTTCTTTGGTTTTTTTTTTTTTTTTGTGTGTGTGTTTGTCAACGCCCCCCATCCCGATTACTTTCTAGTAATAGTTGCTTAAGTTGCATTAGTGTTCTGGTTTATGGCTCATAGGGAAATCCTTGGGTTGTTTACTTAGTATGACTGTCACTTATACGTTTCTTTCACATTTTCTCAGAGGTTGCTGATCTGGTGGTTTCAATATGTACATAAAGCAGGTAAGTTTTTGTTATAGGTGGATTACTGTTAACCTTGATTTTTCCGAGTGATATCTATAGGGCCCGATTTACTTTTTCGTAGATTTCTAATATTTTATTAATATGTGCCGTCCTGCAATTAGGTTATTATTGAAGGATTTAAGAGCTACAGAGAACAAGTTGCTACTGAGGCCTTCAGCCCGAAAGTTAATTGTGTTGGTAATGATATCTTTCCTTGCAATTGCAACGGATGTTTTTATTTATTTATTTTCAGAGTTTTATGCTAGTTTATAATTTTCATTTTTAACTGTAACCGATTGGAATATCTTTGTAAAATGGATAATGTACTTCAAAGTATTAGATTACAAGAGGGTGATGTGCCATATTTGTATTGGTTTGGTTAGCATAGTAATAGACATCAGACAAATGAGGTGCTGAAGTATCTTATCTAGGTTCTTAAGGTGTGTGACATAAAAAGGAGTTTTATGACTGTTAAGGAATGTTTAGCTTGCCAAGCTCATGGTGTATATGGGTTTTTTAATATTCATTGCTGCACAACCTATCCTTTTGGATAACATGAGCACTTCTTTTTGGTTTTTCAGATAGACCTCTGTGCAGCTTTGCAGCTTAATATAAAATCTTGTGTATTAAAATTTTGAGGTCATTCAACCGAGATTGAAAAAAAAAAAACAATTGAGTCTTCAATAGTTTTATTCATTTGATACCTTTGCATTTTTGTCTTGTAAAAGTATGCCTATATGTATTGGAGATCTTCTCCATTAAAGTAAAAATGTCAATCGTACTTCTGTATCTGTATTTGCTTGTTTTCTAATTCCATTCTAAAACATGTTTCTAATAAAATTCCATATCTATTTCAATGATGTTTACTGCAGTTGGTGCCAATGGGTCTGGAAAGACGAACTTCTTCCATGGTAAGTATCAAGTATGAGTGATTCTTGCGTTGTTTCTTTCCTTCGGCCAGTATATATATTTGTCCTTTTGGAACTGTTAACATTGACTTGTTTACGTTTGTTGATTCAAAAATTTTATTTAGCGATCCGGTTTGTACTAAGTGACCTTTTCCAAAACCTTCGGAGCGAGGATAGGCATGCTCTACTCCATGTAGGTCTCTCTGAACGTTTGCTTTTGTTTCAAGCTATTTTGTTCAACTTATTGCCTAATAAACAATTTGTATTGCAATATATGCTTCCTCATGATTGACCAGGAAGGTGCAGGGCACCAAGTATTATCTGCGTTCGTGGAGATTGTCTTTGATAATGCTGACAATCGAATCCCGGTAATGTTTATTGATCATATGTTGTCAGTTTATTTTGTAATCCTTTTTCTCTCTCTCTCTCTTTCTCTCTCTCTTGCTCAATACACATGTATGTCTTTTTTCCTTGTGAATATGGAAAATTTACTGAAACTACCTCCTAGCACTCAACCCACTTTGAAAGTTTTGGGCTGCCTAGTCACATCTTTTTTCCCCACTTGGTGCATGGATTGTGCAAAGATGATCACTATAGGAATGGTGCTTGCAACATTTTGTTTTTCTAATATAAATCAAGTTTTGGTGTGAGTTTTACTATTTGAGGAAAAAAATCTTATCTGTAATAGAGGCATTGATTGGATAGACCTGTCTTTTCAATTATTTGCATGTTTGGAAAGCTGCAATTAGTTAGCTTTATGGAGTTTCTATAGCTGTTTCAGTTTTAGGGGGATTTTTTTCCACTCTCCTGTTTTGGAAGTTAAAATACATTATCAATCTTCACAAATGGAGTAATGTCAAAACTAGTACGGGACCTGTATTTTCTGGCAAAACGTGTCATGCTTAATTTAACGGGTACAATTCGTGATGAGTTGTGTGTCTAGTGTCCTCTCTCTCTCTCTCTCTCTGATACACTCAGTATACTACGAGGGCTTCCAAGTAACATGAAGAATACAATTATTTTAAACTATTCCTTGTTAACTTTTTTTTTTTCTTTCTAAAATCTAAAATATCATAAATATTATCTAGTTCTAAATTATAAATGTGCCCTGCCCTCAACTTGTTGTGAGCGCATGGTAGTGACTGCTGTCATAGCAATCTTTTGGGTGGTGTGCGTGGAGAGGAATAGAAGAATTGTTTAGGAAACAAGGAATGAAAATGTGGACATAAGTTTTTGGGCGGAGTGAAGAATGTTGAAGTGTTTGGGATCTGTTCAGTCACTGAATCCTTAATAGAAATAGAAGGATTGCATTTTGGGGGCTTTAAGGGTGAGGACATATTTTCTGGGATAGATTTTTTTTTTTGGTAAAGTACAAAAAACTACTTCAACTATTGGTGTCACGACAGTTTCATACCTCATATTTTAAAATTGACAATGTCATACCTCATCTTTAGAATTTGGTCCAATGTTATACCTTCCGTTACTTGGCCGTTTATTTTTCAGTTAAATGCTAACATGGCTTGATTCGAGGCCCACTTTCCATTAAAAAATTAATAAAATATTAAATAAATTTTTTAGTTTTTAATAATATTTTATTAATTTTTTTAATGGAAAGTGGGCCCCGAATCAAGCCACGTTAGCATTTAACTGAAAAGTAAACAGCCAAGTAACGGAAGGTATAACATTGGACCAAATTCTAAAGTTGAGGTATGACATTGTCAATTTTAAAAGATGAGGTATGAAAGTGTCGTGACACCAATAGTTGAGGTAGTTTTTTGTACTTTACCCTTTTTTTTTGTGCACTCCTCATAATTTATTTTTTTTCTTTCTAAATATAGAAAGTTTGGGTGCATAATGAGTTTTTTGGAGTGCCAATAACAATACTCTTTGGGAAAATGCTATTTTGTTTCACATTAAAGGTAGGTGATTAAACTATAGAGTATTCTAAGCCTAGTTGTCCATACTTGAATGATTTGATAAGGCAAATATCAAATTCGCACATCGAGTATTCTAAGCATTGCACCTCGATACGTGAAAATGATACCTCTCTGTGGTTGCTAATTGGTTTTGGATTGGATACTCCAACTTGACAAGTTTCAAATTACCTCTGTTTTTGGTTGCTATTTTGTGTTTGTCCAAGACTTTTGCACAAGTAGCGATATTGCTTTTATGTATTATTGTTCATTTTGACAGCTTCAGCTTACTTCACTGCTTTAACACCAATTGAGGCATTTGCCATGCTTTCTTATACGGGTTATATCTCTTTCAACTTTTGCATCACTTCTCGATAGGTTGATAAGGAGGAAGTGCGCTTGCGAAGAACCATTGGTTTGAAGAAGGATGAGTATTTCTTGGATGGAAAGCATATCACGTGAGTGCATATATTTTTGGGAAAATATTAATATTCTGTGTATTATGGGGTTTTTATTATGAGATCCTTTTCCATGGTTTCTGTTGAATGACGGACGATAACTCTAATTTCAGGAAAACGGAAGTTATGAATTTACTGGAAAGTGCTGGGTTCTCTCGCTCCAATCCTTATTATGTTGTGCAGCAAGGAAAGGTATGATTTTCTACTTGTTTGGATATCATATATTTACCTGAGAAAATAATTCATTGTTATATTTTGAGTATTGTTGTGATTGTGATTGATGCACTTTTTTATTGGTTTTTCTAATTACAATTTTTTGGACTCTTTCATAGATAGCATCCTTGACACTGATGAAAGACTCTGAACGGCTGGATTTACTGAAAGAAATTGGTGGTACTCGAGTGTATGAGGAGAGGCGTCGAGAAAGTTTGAAAATTATGCAGGAAACTGGCAAGTCATTATTGAATTATTTTTTTATGGTTATTATATATGGTTTCTTACAAGCTTTTCTCTTTGCTATTCAGGAAACAAAATAAAACAGATAGTTCAAGTTGTTCAGTACTTGGATGAGAGATTAAAGGAGTTGGATGAAGAGAAAGAGGAACTAAGACAGTATCAACAATTTGACAAGCAGCGGAAATCTTTGGAATACACTATTTATGACAAGGAACTTCAGGATGCTCGCCAAAAGTTGGCAGAGGTTAGTCGAGTTAGATTGCTAGGCCATATAAAAGGTTTGCATACCGAACCGAAACTCATATCCCGATTACCGAACCGAAATTTTCAGTTTGGGCATAATTCATAGTTCATACTGACACCGAACCAAATGTTTCAGTATCCCAAAAATTAGTAATACCAATAATGAATGGTTTCGGGATGGTTCAGTAATATCAATTTCAAAAGATTTACCTTGATGTAATTGAAGGTGGAAGAACGAGAGGGAGTCCAGAGAACTTCAATTATGAGGTTGAGGTTCCTCCAAAAACCCAGATTTGGTTTTGAAGGTGGAGGAAGCTCTTGACGATGGACATTGAGGAGAGTGGTGGCTGGTCGGCGTTCAGAGCAAGAGGGAGAGTCGGAAACAGAGAAGAGAGAGTGGAAGTCAAGAGGGAGAGGGTTGGGTTCAAGAAGGGAAGGGAAGGGAAGAGAGAGGGGGGTGGGGGGGAGGTGTAGTCTGAGTCTTTTATCAGATTTTGGGTTTCTGTTTTTTCGGTAGTCTGTTCGGGAATTTGTTGGTTGGTTTCTTGATTTCGGGACAAAATTCCCAGCCCTAGGTTTGCACAGTTTATCTTCTCGTTGCTCTTGAGAAGTGTTATATATTTATTTTATAAGAAATAGATTTTTATTAAAATTGGATGCAATTATGAAGTGTGAATGAGGTGTACACAATCTTATGGAGCCTATAATACAGAATCAGACCTTTCAAATAGATTCTAAGTTACAAAAACCTCCAGACTTGAAACCTAAATTCATTTCACATACATCATTATAGAAGAGTGAGAATAAACCTTACACTCATTCGGAAGTGGCCCAAAGAACTGCCAGGTATCTAACTTGGTCCGGTTTTTCGCGTACTCCCGCACCCTTGAATCAATGTTAATCTGCCACCTCTGAATAATAAAAAAAAATTCCTTCCAATTACCAAATTTGAAGCCACCTTTTCCACCTTCTCCACCGCTGTGCTCTTGGCCTTCCCCCAAGTGGTTCTGGAATCATATTTAGGTAGCATATGCAATTGTCATTGCATATATTTTTGTAACCTGTGGACATGTTTGATGTTCAGTGCATGTCTGAATAATAAATAGCTCTCTTAGAAGTGTTTGTGCTACCGATGAGAATTCTCACTCTACATATCTTTAAAAGAATGAATGATGGTGTTAGTAACTATTCCATTTAGAAAGTTCGAATAGTAAAAACTCCAGTTTGATTATAATAATGTAATCCAAAATTGAAGAGCTAAAATAACGGTCCCACACACACATGCAGATATATATACACACACATCTTCATCTCGTGCCCTAACTCTCTTCGGACTGCAGACAAACATGCACAATGCTGACCTCGATGCCTAAATTATATGCTTTTTCACCTTGATTCAGGTAGAAGATGCTAGAAATAAGGTTTCTGAAACTTCAACAAAGATGTATAATACAGTGCTGGATGCCCATGAAAAGTCTAAGGACCTGGACAAGATTTTGAAGGATCTGACGAAAGAGCTTCAAGCTTTAAATAAGGATAAAGAAACAATAGAAATGCGAAGAACAGAAGCAATAAAGAAGCGGACAGAGCTTCAGCTTGATGTCAACGATTTGGAGGAGAAGAAAACTGGAAATACCCGGGTCAAAGTAATATTCAAATTGTGTCGTCTGCTGTGTTGTTTTTCTAATTTTCTTTTTGTATCAGTTTTCTTTGTTCTAGTCATAGGAGGGACATGAATGATGCATTTGTTGATCTTTACATGCTTCCAGGAAGATGCTATGAAACAGCTGCAGAGTCTGCAGAAAGAAATTAAGGATTCAGAGGAAGAACTTAAGAAAATAAATCCTCTGTATGATAATCAAGTCAAGATGGAAATGGAGATAACAAAAGGGTATGTCTATGTAATATTAGATAATCTTCTTATTTCTATCCCATTTACAATATAGTTTAATTCTAGTCATGAGAAAATGTTCGTTTTTCCTTTGATTGGTGGAAAAAAAAGTACAGGGGGATTATGTCAACTAATTAATAAATCATAACATATATTATAGGTGTTTAATAAACCTCCATTTTTTCTGATGGATCTTTTTGAAACAGAACATCTATTACTCAATATTATTTATCAACACTTCAAACAAACAAGGAGTTTCTTAACATTCATGTGCAACTCTAGCTCATATACAAAAATCAATTTGTTACATCTAGTCTTTCTTTTATGGACAATTTTTTTTTTCTTGCACACTAATTCCATGTGCTTATGCCGCTGCCCTTTCCTCTACTCGCTACGCAGTGATGATAGGTTATTAAGTTTAATTTGGCCCAGGTAATATTATAGAACAATTTCTAGTCTAGTAGAAAGTTTTAAGTGTAAAGATGAACGATTGGAACTTGCTGCTTAGGAATAGGCGTCTTTTGGGTAACCGGTGCCTGGTGGTGGTGATTTCCTCTTAAGCAGGATTTTTAGTGGTGTTCTGTTTTTCAAATTTCAAAGTCTGGTTTGCAGTCTAGTGGGTGACATGATTGTGAGTCATGTAAGTTTCATAGTCCTTGGGAAATTCATTTCTCAGGATTTTCGTATTCCGTTGGAATGAAGGACCTACACAAACCTGTGGGTCGAAGATAACTTGAGTTTCAGAAAAAGTTGAACAGCAAGTCTGTCCAAATACTGGAATATGTTTGGACCTTTGAGAAGTCTTGGTATATGTGCTAATATATTATCTCACAATTGGTTCACTTGGAATATAGAATAATGGAACGCGAGAAGCAGCTTAGTATACTGTACCAAAAACAAGGTCGTGCCACCCAGTTTTCAAGTAAAGCTGCTCGTGACAAATGGCTCCAAAAGGAAATTGATGACCTTGAACGAGTTCTTTCTTCAAATTTGGCACAGGTATGAAGGCTTCTTTTTTTAAAGCGTATATTTGAAGGGCTCCAAAAGGAAATTGATGATCTTGAGCTAGTTTCTTAAAATTTGGCACAGGAATATTTGAATGGCTCCATATAGTACTTTAGCATGTCTTTCTTATTTCCAACTACTAGAAGTATGCACGCTATTATTCCTTGTTTCACCCCAGTGATTGTTTCTTTAATTTTTGTTTAGATTTCTATGCATACAGATTCAATTATATCCTCTTTTCTTGGATTTAAGTATTTCACCTTGTTCGACCAAAAGAAAATTATTTCACCTTGAATTCACATCATTTCTCAAAACTTTCTTTGAATTAGACGTGTTTGAAATCACCAATTACCTACCCTGAAACCACCATTCTCTTGAGAATATGCAACAATATTCCATCTAACTAGATGCTCTTGATCCCTTCACCAACGCCTTCCCATGTAAAGCCCTTTATGAGATACCTTAAAAAAAAAAAATCCCCTTTATGAGATACTTTAAAAAAAAAATCCTTTAAGAGATTCTCCAATATGTTAGTGCCGTTGCTTGGAATCCAAAAGATAGAGGTAGTTGGCACACTGTGTAAGGCTGATTAAATCAAAGTAAGCCTACCTCCTTTACATTGAAACACTTTTTTTTTAACCTTCTAACCACTTCTCCATTTTCTCCACAACCAAATCCCAGTAATTATCTGCATGTGGATTACACATAGCAGAATGCCCAAATATTTCATAGGCCAACTGACTACCTTAACGCTTAGCATTTTTGTATTTTGTTAATCTCACTCATTCATTTTTGTGTTGCTAACGGTTCTGTGGCGTTGTTTGTGTGGTTTTATTGTAGCTCTGGAGTTATGTTGTATGATTCTTTGTTCTGCTCTGTTTAGACTGCCTTGGTTGGGCATTTAGTCTTGTGGCTTTTGGTTCACTTTTTGATTTGGCATGCGAGTTGACATTCCTGCTGCCACATCTTATGTCCTTAGTGCTTAATTTGCTAGTCATTCATAACATTTATAAGCTATGTATACTGTATTATTTGTACCAAATTTTTACTTTAATCTATTTTTAACTTTTGTATGTTCCAGGAGCAAAAACTTAAAGATGAAATTGCACGGCTTGATGCTGAGTTGAGTGACAGGGATGTCTACATTGAGTCTCGAAGAACTGAGATTGCTACTATTGAATCTCTCATCTCTCAGTCACATGATGGGTTCAGTCATCACAAGACACAGAGGGACAAGATGCAGGATGAGCGCAAGTACGAGTCTTTTGAACTAAATATTCAATGAATTTGTTACAACCATTCCAATATGAAATATTTTTTGTTAGGTCCCTGTGGAGGAAAGAAACTGAACTTTCTGCTGAAATTGAGAAGCTGAGAACAGAAGTTGAAAAGGCTGAAAAGAGCCTTGATCATGCAACTCCGGGTGTTAGTAATTGCTTTCTTTACTTTTGTAGCTTCTGCTATGCTAAACATGGCTGTCATTTGTGTGAAACTTAAAGTGATTGAATTACTGTAAACGTCGGTAAATGTTTAAACATTAAAATGCATACAATATTATATTCTGAGAAATCACAAAAAGCAAGTCTTCTGAAGGATCACAAACCAAGTTAAAATATATAATGTTACATATATATTTATGCTGACTTACTGAAAACTATTTTTGAAATCATAAAGCAAATCTTCTGAGGGATCACTTTGGGATTTAATGCTAGAACTTTTTTCAAAACCTCATGCATCTTTGTGATATAATGACTTTGAACTTCCAAGGCCTTAAAGGTTATTATGTTGGAAAAGAGTGCAAAAAGAATCTAACTTATGTTTCTAAGTTAATAAATGCAGAAAAGAATTTATATGTTTTGTTTGCATTATGATTCCACTTGTTTTGTTGTGTTGTTTTGTGTTGTGATTATGTATTTTATTATGTCTATGGCTTTTCTATTGGTGCATCTCAAATTATGAGTTTTTTTTTTTTTTGTTTTTTTGCTTCTCGCTTTTCCATGTTTAAAATAGTTTGATATTCAGAGTCATTAGGCAGTACTATATGTAAGATTTCACTTTTCTTCTCTGTTTCTTGTCTAATGCTTTCAGGATGTGAGGAGAGGGCTAAATTCTGTTCGTAAGATCTGCAGAGAGTATAATATTCATGGGGTATTTGGTCCAATCATTGAGTTGCTTGATTGTGACGAAAAGTTTTTTACAGCTGTTGAAGTAACTGCTGGGAACAGGTACTCAATGTTTCATTAGGGTTCTACCCCCATTCTTTTAGCTGTTGCCACATTTACCAAATGGTGTTATGATCTGTTAGCTATCACCTTCATTGTTTCTTTGCACTTTTAGTTCTATTAATTGATTTCTGTTCTTTCTGAACAGCTTGTTTCACGTTGTGGTTGAAAATGACGAAATATCAACCCAGATAATTAGGCACCTTAATTCATTGAAAGGTGGACGAGTTACATTTATTCCCCTCAATAGGGTGAAGGCTCCACGGGTAACTTATCCACAGAATTCAGATGTGGTTCCTCTGTTGAAGAAATTAAAATTTGCTCCGAACTACACCCCGGCATTTTCCCAGGTTAGCTTCTACCTGAGTTATCTATCTTAGAAATCATTGGTTATTGGGTCAATGTCAGAAGTGGACCTTTTTTTGTTTGTGTTGTTTCTACATACGTACATAATCTTAAGTTGGGGATCACTTTTATTTTTAATCCTGTAGAACCATTGTGTTACTCAAGAAAAGGGAGGCAAAAGAAACCCCAGTATACACGAAGTACAGATTTACAAATTTAGTGTAATCAACTCTATTACCTACAACTATCTATATGTCTAACATGGAACCACTCAAAAGGACGACTAAAATCTGAAACACTTCATAACAGTAATGGTGCATTTGCGTACAGAATAAACTTGGAACTCACCCATGCTTGGGATTTATGAAATGACACCTTGATTTACTTGTTTGGGTTCAAAAACATGGAAAATATTTAATTGCAAAACTGTAGTGATGTATTTCTATGTAATTTTTCTTGTTCCTATGTTTTCTTCATAGAGTGAATGATGAAAACATGATTGACACTGAAACTAGATATTCAGAAGGTGCAATAACTCAGTATCATGCTTGATAGAGATACGGGTTTGAAATTTCATTGGCATACCTTCTTAAGTTGGTTCACTTTAGGATTATGTGTTCTCTACTGGGTATGGTGATTTCTATATGTGCATATCTATTTGTATTTTAGCTTCTAACAATGTTCAGAATGACATGTCATCATTATATGCTCTTAACTTAGGTATTTGCAAGAACGGTTGTTTGTCGAGATATGGATGTGGCTACAAGGGTTGCTCGTAATGATGGTCTAGACTGCATTACTTTGGAAGGTTTAGACAGAGCTCGAGGCTTTCTCTGCATTGTGTTGCGCAGTGTTATAATTATTAGTTCTAATGGCTTGACAAGTCACCATGTGTTATCTAACAGGTGACCAAGTCAGCAAGAAGGGTGGCATGACGGGAGGATTTTATGACCATAGACGGTCAAAATTAAAGTTTATGCATATAATCATGCAGAATACAAAATCTATCAACATGAAGGAAGAAGAGCTGGAGAAAGTAAAGAAAATGCTTGAAGATATCCTTTTGGAAAATGATTTCATATACATGCAGAGCAGTAATCTTCCTCCGTAGCCTTTAATTTACTTTATCTGTAAATAAAAGTTTCCAGGCTACCAAAATGCAAGAGTGAAAAAAAAAAACCACTTGATTGAAAATAGAAGTTTGCTGCTGATGTCTAAGTTGAATTTTCACTTAAAATACATGGATTTGTTAATATTTAGATAAAGAGGTACACCTTGAATTCTACAGTCTTGTCAGCTGGAGTGATTTGCCATCTTATGCACTTCATAAGCTGAGCATTAGTGTGAAACCAATGGTTTTAATCATTTCCCACCAAAACTTTTATTCTTGTTTTCTGGAAATTAACATTTTGATAAACCCAATTCGAACTGATTAACTATAACAAAAATGCCTAAATGGATTTGACTGAGCCGTGTCGTGTGCATTGGTTTGAAGCCCTTGAATCTGTCCAGTCCCCTTTCTGGTTGCTAAAGCCAATGAAAAATCTGATGAAAGATAATCAGAGGCCCCTGCCTGAATTTTAATCTTACTGTCTTAACTACGTAAGTTGGATGAAGATCTGAGAAGGAAATTGAATAAAAATGACCAGTATCAAGTAGGTAATCCTTTTGTGATTGTCTAAATTTTTTTAGCATTCCGGTTAGATTGATATGATTAAATTTGGCAGTTTTGTTTTTAGATTGGGGTGTTGTTTCTTTCTTTTCCTTCTTTGTTGGTTTTTTGTTCTTTTATCATTTACCCTGTTTTTGTCGTTGACTTTTCCTATTGGTTTTGGGTTCCTTTTGTGAACTGCTGGTCCACTTGATTGTACTTCTCATTTCTCTCGTGGTGATTACTCTTTATGTTTTTTCAAAAAATACAGCCTTGTTTTACTAAATTTACCTCACAGATAGACAAAAAAATTACAGAACTTGTAACTGAACAGCAGAAAATTGATGCCAAGCGGGCCCATGAGAAATCAGAAATGGAACAACTTAAGCAGGACATTGCTAATGCTAATAAGCAGAAGAATCTGATTTCCAAAGCTTGTGGGAATAAGGTATTTTGGCATTTGAAATGACATCATTTCCCGTGCCTGGAGGAGTTTCAGTTACTAGCTGATTATTTTATCATTTATCAGTCGTGTGTGCTTATAGTCTGCCCTCTTAACTGTAGAAAAAATCACTGGCGGATGTGGAGACTCAAATTACTCAGCTTAGAGCCAGTGTGGCCATGAAGAGAGCTGAAATGGGCACAGATCTCCTTGATCATTTATCTCCAGAGGAGAAGGATCTTCTCTCAAGATTAAACCCTGAAATAGCGGATCTTAAAGAGAAGCTTGTTTCATGCAAGACGGATCGTTTTGAGGTTAGCCAAATATAGTTGATTGATATTTAGAGTATTTGTGTGATTGTATCCTTATGTGCATATCTCCTTCTACTCATGTACATTTATAGACTGAAACAATAAAGGCAGAGCTGGAGACTAATTTAACCACAAACCTTGAGAGGCGGAGGCAAGAACTAGAGGCCATAATATCTTCTGTGGAGACTGACAATTATAACGGTGAAGCTGAAATTAAGACTCAGGAACTTAATGATGCTGAATTATTGGTTAAAGATGCAACAGAGCAGCTCAAAAGTGAGGCGTTGATATGCTGTTTCTGAAGTGCCCGTTTGGAAGTTTTGAGTTTTGTTCTGTGTTTTAACTACAGTTTTGTTCATCAGGAGTTTCTGAAACTATAGATAGCAAGTCAAAGCATCTCAAGAGAATTAAAGATGAAAAGACTGCGTTAAAGGTAAGGTGGTGATATTGTTAAATTGTAAATGCGTGTTGCCGCTGCTAAGATGACTACTTGTGAATGCAGACTTTGGAAGACAAGTATGAGAGGACACTTCAGGATGAAGCCAAAGAGCTAGAGCAACTGTTGAGTAAAAGAAATATGTTTCTTGCAAAACAAGAAGAATACTCAAAGAAAATCAGGGAATTAGGTCCATTGTCATCGGATGCTTTTGAAGCGTATTGTTTCTGTCCATACTTTATTTTACGTAATAATTGATATCAATTTTATGTACACTATCTGGAGCTTGTTTAGGTTCCAAACTCTCAAAATCTGTTTGGGTATTATCTAGGTTTTCTAATTGTTGAAATCATTTGCACCTTAAGATCATTTACCATTTCTCCTGCCAAGATTTGAATCTAAGAACAACTGCTTCCCACCTGCCGTGTTACTTGAGCTTGAGTCCTATGTAGTTAGTATTCAACCTGTGTGATGACAGTCCATTGTTGATGCATGCAGTTGATTAGGTTCTTATTTATTTGTTCTTACGTTGAGATGTAACACCGTTGGTAGGTTCGTATTGATTTGTTCTGCTTGAAATGGTAGGTATAAGCGCAGGGGCATCAAAGAGTTGCATAAAGCGCTGCATAGATGCAATGAACAACTGCAACAGTTTAGTCATGTCAACAAGAAAGCACTTGATCAATATGTAAATTTTACAGAGCAACGAGAAGAGCTCCAGAAGAGGCAAGCTGAGCTGAAAGCGGGTGATCAGGTATCAATTCACTGTCAGATCTCTTTTATTGAGTTGGTTTTTTTCTTCTAAAGATTGGCTTAAGATTAGGTTGTCTTGGCATTTATTTTTTTATTTCAATTTTTGCAGAAAATTGATGAACTTATAAAGGTTTTGGATCAAAGGAAAGATGAATCAATAGAACGTACTTTTAAAGGAGTTGCTAGGCACTTCCGAGAAGTTTTCTCAGAACTTGTGCAAGGTGGCCATGGGCACCTTGTTATGATGAAGAAAAAGGTTTATTGCTGAACTTGATCTCTTCAGTTTTTCCTCTTTGTGGTCAATCCTGATATGCGTGGACATAGCTTGATGCTTTGTGTTTATTGGTTTAGTATCAGCTGAAAGAATGTAATATTAATGCAGCCCTGTTAGCTGAGTGGCCAGAGATGCTTGACACTCTGTCCCATCTAAATGTTCTTTCAGAAAATGTAGTTCCTTTCTCCCTTAGAAGGATCATAAAAAATGGTTTCATTCCAGTAATTGTCATCAAAAGAGCCTTAGACATAACTAGATTGACTCGAGTATGTAGGACTGTCTTCACGAATGTTGCCTTCATTTTAGACATTTAGTTAAACTTCTAATGGTTTTACTTAAATCTGGGTATTGAATCTGCAGGATGGTCAGCATGGTGATGATGAACAGGATGAGGATGGGCCACGTGAAGTGGATTTGGAGGGAAGAGTGGAAAAATATATTGGTGTAAAAGTGAAGGCACGGATATTCTGTTGTTCCTTTTACTAAAACCTGATGCCTCCACCATATTTATTTGTGATATTAAGTGGCGAGCAACCCCCTGGAGTTAGTCCTGTGGTAGGACTGGTCGAGATAAGTGCCCCAGGAAGCATGGGTCTTGAGTGGGATTACCCACAGATGCGTACCCTCCTGTAGGGCCACCTCCCATTGTTTGTCCCACCCATTTGGATTGGCGGGTCTGCATGTGCCCTTGGGATCTGTGGGTCAGAGATTTAGATACCTTAAATTTTAATTGATGTAGCAAAGTTATATATAATTTTAATTGGTTTAGATAACTTAAATTTTAATCCAGCCTCAGTTACAAAATTTTTTAAATTGAAACAGAAAAAAATAGATGTTATGGGTTGTCAGTAAGGTTGTATTTATTTCTGAATTTATTTGTCTTTCAATTTTTATTTTTTTTTTATCTTTTGGCAGGTTTCTTTCACTGGACAAGGGGAGACTCAGTCCATGAAGCAGTTGTCTGGGGGTCAGAAAACTGTTGTTGCGCTGACACTTATTTTTGCCATCCAGCGATGTGATCCTGCCCCATTTTATCTTTTTGATGAAATAGATGCAGCACTGGATCCTCAGTACAGAACTGCTGTTGGAAGTATCCTTTATGTCATATTTTGTCTTCTGTTTTTTTATGCTAAAATTAAAGCACTTCACCAGGTGTTCAAATATTATGCCACAGAACCCTTAATATGTCAGCGACCAGGTTTGTAGATTTGGATATACTGTACAGTTTGCTTGGATTAGATCTCCTAAAGTGACATTGCCGTGCTTGTTTTGTTAGGGTACACCCTATGTTCAGGGGACAGATAGTAGGTTCTGATATCCTACACGTCAATGGAGCAAAAGTTGGTCAAGGGGTGAATGACTAAATATATATCCCCTCTTCAAGTTCTATCAACAGCTTTATCATTCTCTCTGACTCCCTTAGATTAAATGAGTTTTCAAGATCCGTAGTTTGCAGCCTTTTAATTTTAGTCGGCCTACCTGTCCAGCTAAGCTGCCACATGTAGATAACCTAAAGATGGACAGAAATCCGCCTTAAATTCCTTTTCATTAAGGGATATTGATTATCTGTGACCATGATACAACCCTGAAAAAACAAAATCAAAGAGTACTTTGTAACACAGCTCTTAAATCTATCCTGTAGCAGCTACCCAGTTACAAGGGTAGACATGGCAAATACTCATATATACCAAGGTGCCTCTTACGCATTTCCTTTTGATCTCTGTTGGAAGTTTCACTTGCCATACAGCTTCCTTAATTACCCGTTGATAGATATGATCCGACGCCTGGCAGACATAGCAAACACTCAATTTATAACCACAACATTCCGGCCAGAGCTTGTGAAAGTTTCTGACAAGATATATGCTGTTGAACATAAAAACAGGGTGAGCCGTGTCAGCGTTGCATCGAAGGACGATGCATTGGACTTCATAGAGCGTGACCAGTCTCACAATGCGGAGTAAAGGTTAGACCAACTTTTATATTCACATCATAGTGATATTTTTTTAATTTCATGAAGTTGATTAGGGAACAAATTACAGGTCTTTTGAGTTTTAAGACCAAAGACGATGGACACGGAAAAAAAAAACCCTTGAAGAGTTCTTGTTATTGTAGTTGAACGGCTGTGGGGTCATTATTTTACCGTTATATTACCTGTTTCATTTTGGAACTGAACAACACTTCTTGTTTTGGTCCCAGCGTGTATCAAGAACAGGAAAGACGGCTAGAGCAATCTGTTTTTCGGTAAATTCACACTGAGAGGAGTGAGATGTTGTACGAAGTAGGTTTGCTGGTGTTGGCTCGATTCTAGATATGCTGAAGAACCATTAGCTTTATCCATTGACAATTTCCTGTATAAGGTATTGCTCATAAGAAGGAACCATGAGTACATAATACTTATAATCTAAACTATTCCACGGAATTCCGGTGTCACTATGAACCATGAGAGTATGTATGCATATGATTAAGGAAATTAGGTTGTCTGTGGGCTGGTTTGGTATTGTTTCGTTTCGTTTCCCTTTGGTAAAGGTTACATGATGCTTCATGCTTAGTTGATGAAATGTGTATTTGGTTGGACAATGTTTATTTTTGGTCTGTGGTTCTAGCACAACACAACTCTTATAACTTTCCAATTGCACAAAATTAATCATGCTAGTTCTGTTTGCGCATATCTCCAAAGCGAGCGTTGGTAATTGCTTGGTATACACTTCAGTTCCGGCGGCCATGCTGCCACGAGAGCATCAACCGACGAAATTAATTGCTCTACCACAAAAGGGTGCCCAGGGATAACGATAACAACACACTTGACCACGCCACAGATGTTGATGAGGGAGATTAACCTTGGAGCGGCCATCGGACACCATGCTAGTTTGTGAGAATTTCTTAATGACTTGATTCTTCTTATTGAGGAATATATAATTAGGAATTTAGCAACCCAATGCCTCATTTAACGGGGACGATTTATATGAAATAGGTGTCACGTGACGTCTCCAACCAATAATGAATGTCATGTGTAAGGTTTTTCTTGACATTGCATTGCATTATTGGATTGAAAAGTCACAGTGACGGTGAACCCGTTCTATGTAAGTTGCTCTTCTTATTTAACAATTACTTACAAGTTTGCCGAAGTTGAGTTAGTGGCGTTAATAGGTTGAGTTGTAAGTCCAAAGCCAAAGGGAAAGAGCAACATTCATAGGGAGCTGATCTACCCTTTTGAACCATGTCCTAGCAAGCTTTCCAGTGAATCCAGAGTCACCATACAGGACATCAGCAATTCCTTGCCCTTCCGTCCCGGGCAGCCATGAAGCCACGGGAGCATCGATCGACGATACGTAGGGCTCCATCACTATCGGCGCAAACTTTGAGCAATGGGTCTAAGCAGTGCATGTGCATGTGCATTGGGGTATATTATCTAAAGCTAAATTAGTCTTGCAGTTGGAAGGAAATCTTAGCAAATTAAATGGTTTTTCTGAGATGAAAGAAATTGAAATAAATTCTCATAGTCGATCGTAGGATCCTGTTTTTTTTAGTTTTTCTTTGTAATATGAATTCTATGTATGATAATTGAATTAGCCTCACTGTAGGATTCATTGATCCAAGATTATCTTTCACAGATCAAAATTTGAGTGGAATAATAACATCACGTAAAAGTGTTCCGGATAAACAAAAAAAATCTCTCACATGGTGACTTGATGACATGAGAGAATCTCTCCCATTAAAATGCCTACTGACAGTCAAACGAACAGTGGTGACCTGATGAGACGAGAGATTATCTCTTGTTAAAAAGCCAACGGTCGCACCACATTGAAGCAAATTGAGAATGCTAAATGTTGAATAACTTTTAACAGCATTCCCTCTACGGTTTCCAGAAAAATCGACGACAGTAACGATACAACATTTTGTTATGCCCTCTCGTGGGAAGGGAATGTTGATCTACAAAATCTCATCCATGAAACAGCTAACAACTTTTCATGAACGGATAGGAATGGTACCATGTGTTACTAATTCTTGGTTGGCTTGGTCGTCAGACCAAATCCGAAAGGAAATAGAGGGTCGTAATGTGGATCACCAACGTTCATTGGGAGCTGGTCTACTGTCTTAAACCATGTGTGTGCAAGCTTGCCAGTGAATCCGTAATCACCAAATAATGCGTCTGTAACACCTTGGCCTTCAGTTCCTGGAAGCCAAGCTGCGACAAGTGCATCAATTCCAGCAAGATAGGGCTGGAGCACTACAGGGCGGCCAGAAATAACCACAACGACACATTTCACAGCTCCACAGACATTGGCAATTGTGCTCGGTCCAGGTTGTGGTATGGTCAGATTCAAGCTATCCCCAAATGTTTCAGAATATGGGGGTTCGCCCACGACAACAATAGCGTAGGAGAATTTGTTGGACTTCACAAAGTTAGCATCGGGGTTCTCGTTGTAGACAACTTGGGTGGTAGGATCAACTGTACTTTTCACAGCACTGAGGATTGTGGTACCTGTTACAGCATTGAATCACTGACAGTAAGCAAGAGCAATTCTTTCTATGCTCAGAAAGTTCGATCACGTGAGTCTAAGAAATATAAATTCTTTCCAACAAACAGTGAGATGGGTTGCTAGATCATTCAAAAGAGGAATGAAGGCATAATTGTCAATTCAACACGTACCCATTGTATGATCGTTGCCTTCAAGGCCCTGCCATGTGATTGTCCAGCCTCCACATTGATTGCCCAAGTTGTCCGCATGGCTTCCTGCTACTAGTATCTTCCCAGCTTTTTTGGGAAGGGGAAGCACTGGCTTATAAGCAGATTTTCCGTTCTTTAGCAGAACAAGTGATTTTCTTACAGCTTCCCTTGCCAATTCTCTATGTACCTGTGAAAAGCCAGCATTTGAAGAAAAGGGTTTGAATACGGCAGATAAAGAGAACAAAGTTATTTTGTATCGTAAAGTTAGAAAGACGGACCTTATTTCCCAGCTGGCTCGCCAGGCTGAGATCCGCCAAGGGATTCTCAAAAAGCCCCATAACAAACTTAACCCTCAAAATTCTCTGCACGGCATCATCGATCCTGCTCATTGGGATGATATTGTTCTTGACTTGATATGTTAGATCATCAATAAAGTCAGTGAAGTTGTAGGGAACCATAATCTGTAACAACCAGAGATATACATTAGCAAACGAAGATAAAAACCTAGCATATCTCAGCTTGAGGAGGTAGTATTCCAATGTAAACAGCAGACCGAATGTTTATTACAATACAATGACCGAAAGTTACACTTTTAATTAGACTAACCATGTCGATTCCGGCACCAACTCCAGCTTGAACTGAATATGAATAGTTAGCTTTGGGAGGAGATGTAATCCTGTCAATACCCTCCCAATCTGATATGACAAAACCCTGATAGCACCCGCCGAAAGAAACAAGTCATGCTCGGCACTAGTAATAATCTAATAACCACAGCAGACGATTTATGTAAAATGACTTTCCTTACCCTGAAACGTAGCTTGTCCTTAAGGTATCCGGTTACAAGTTCTTTATTTGCATGCATTTTGTTTCCATTCCAACTCGAGTAAGACACCATAACTGTTGCAACACCCTTGCGGATGGAATTGAGGTATGCAGGCATGTGAATGCTGAGCAATCCATCCAAATCGATCACAGTGTTGTTCTCATTGATGCCCTTCGTTGTGCCACCATCTCCAACATAATGCTTAGCACAGGCCGCAACCTTCCCTCTAGAGAAATGGTAAGGAAAACGAGTTACGCCCAATTTTCTTTATGTCCAGATATTTGAAATAATGATAGAATACATCACAGGTAGGTTATATATACAATTGATTTTTTCTCCAGCGATTAAAAGACGGCTCTAGGTCAAATCCTAGTCTAAAATATAACTACAAGAACACCAAGGCATAGTCTCAGTCTGTCACTTTCCCTTTATAAATGTTTTGCATCCGACCAATCGAGCCCCAGCTAAGGCCTTCTATGAACTCAAGTATTAGTACTCAATCAAACCTTGACCACTAATCTCTAACCAGGCCTACCATGTGGTCATTATGATCAAAATAAATATGTTTGCAGAGGTACTTGTCTGAGACTCTCAAACTATTCATGGATAAGAACCATCACAACGCAAATAATTCACACCAACTGGAAAGAGAAAAAAACGAAGTCTTACTTTGCAGTAGAAACATAGGGAGCCCCCCTTCGAGCAGTGGGAGGCATATCTCCTTGCAGACCAGGTATTATCTCAGTCATTGCTTGAACAATCTTATGGTCTTCACTATAGCTTTCGTAGCACCTACCCCATCTCGGATCTCTGCAGACCTGCAAGAAGAGTAGTAATACATAGTTTTAGTGGAATGCTTGGTCAAGTTTTGGAGTTTCTAACTATGGCTTTCGTATAATAAGACTGCTCTATTACCGCAATACATGGGGCAAAGACATAAGGAATTCCGGTTGCCCTGACTTCGAGGGCAGTTGCTTCCCCAATTCTCTTAACAAGATTAGGATCTCTGAAACAGGAAAACACATGAAATGAAGCATGAGTACAGTGATTAGAAACATCAAACTACATAATTTGACCGAAAGATCATAAACGTTCTGTAATGCTTGAATGAATCCTGTTGACTTCGACTTATTTGGGTGAGAATGAATGTGACTTGCCTGGTGACTCCCAGTCCAACATTATGAGGGAAAATAGTAGCATTGTAGACGTTGTTGTGGCCGTGAACCGCATCAATCCCATAGATCATGGGAATCCCGAGACGGGTGGATAGAGATCCCTTTTGGAGGCCATTCACCAGATTGACCCATGCCTCAGCTGAAGCTTTTGGGGCTGGTTCACTCCCACCACCACTAAGCACACTCCCTGTAGTAAAAAACCATTATCCCACTAAGACATTTACAAATTACAATACAATCATTTCATTTGCTACTAAAACCAACATTGACATTACTGTAATTCCACTATTTTCCTTCTGTGCACGCAAGTTCGAATCTCTCCCTCCGTAGTTTAGATTAGATCAGAATATCGATCGAATAAAAATCCAGCATTGACAAACAGAAGAATATGCATATGTGGTGAGATGAAGAATTGAAAATGTGGGTGAAGATTGTTTGGTTACCAATAAAATACTTGTTCATGACATCAGGGGCTGCAACACTGCGCTCGATCTGCGTCATTTGACCAATCTTTTCGGCGAGGGTCATTCGCTTCATGAGGTCTCGGATTCTAGCATTCAGTGGCTGCTTTGGATCTTTGTATTTGAAGTAGTCCGCTTCTGACAGTCTCAGAGCTGACAGTAAGCAGCAGCATAAGAGTAGAAAACCCGTTAAGGGTATCGAAAATCTCGCCATTTTTGAACCTTAACTGGAGCTTCTGGGTTAGTTGTAATCTGCAGAGAGGCCAGAACCAACAGGGTTCCATTAGAAAACATACAGCCAGGAAGAAAAGTAGCTAAAATTAAGTAGACAAGGAAGAATGCAGTACAAGTAACTAAGAAGAAGAACAAGTATTTCGAAAAGATGAGAGCTTTCTTTCTACTTACATTGTGAGAAACTCCAGAGGGAGAGATCTGATAGAGAGTGGAGTGAGGATGGACAACAAGTTACAAGTGTGGTGGCCCTGCTGGGGTGCTTTGCTTATAGAAAGTAGCTTTATGATGGGCCGATATTTTCTGACTTCTTCTCAACTCGCCTACCATCTTAAAGACTTAAACCCCACGGGTTTTATCCGACCGTCCAAAGGATTTCTACATAAAAAACAATTTACAAGACAAGAATGCATGCACCTATCCTGTAGAATGTTTTTTACGCATACTATTATATTAATGGTAAAATAATTTAGTGATGGTGTGTGTTTCATGTATATATTTCTCCAGGGGACGAGTCATTGAATTTGGACGAGGTATTAAGTAGAAAAGCGATTTCAAAATAGAAACAAAAAACATAATAAGAAGCGTTTATCTGTTCCTAAAATTGTACAATTTAAAACATATTAACTGACCCGGCAAAAGAAACACGTCTAAAATAGGAACAAAATAAAGAGAAAGCTGGATGTTTGCAGGAAAGAAAAAAAAAAAACTAAAAGCTGGATCTCTTTTAAAAATAAAAATGAAGAAGAAAGAAAGCTGGGTCTTTGATGTTTGAAAAAAGAAAACTAATAAAAATGGTTTGAAAACTTTGGATTTTAATGATAAAGACAAAATAAAGGATAAAGTGAATAGTATTAAGATTGACTTTTAATGTAAAAATGTGATTTTTCGTTAAAATAAAAGTTTGTCGTTAAAACTTCCCAAATCGTGATCTGCCAATTGACACTATCGGATCCAAGTAGCATCCAATTTATACGTTGTTGGTAGATGTGCTGACGAGTCGTGTTCAGTTTTACCATCCTGTCAATTGTCAACTTACAAATTGATCGACACATAATAATAATGTTAAACTCACACTGGGCGTAGAGAAAAATGAGATTCTATCCTCTCTTTTTTTTTTTTTTTTAATTTATATGAAATAGACTTATTAGTTGAGTGCCAACTGAGACCTATATTCGAGTTGTGTAACATATTATGTTTGAAATTATGTTCGCCATTTAGCAGTTTTCAATTTTAAATAAAAATGATATTGAGCTTGTTTTTCAGTTCCGGTCACGTTCTTAACATGACATTTGTTATTAATCAAGGGAGAAATGCCATGTGAATAATGTGGCAAACTCGTGAATAGGCTTTTTAGCCAAAATGGTTCATGAGATTTGCATAACAGATCACTTTGTCCCTGAGATTTGAAATCAATAGAAGTGGTTGCTGAGATTGTCCATCATCAATCATTTTGATCATTTCGTGCAAAATTATGTTAAATAAGGATTCAAAATGACAAATATACCTTTAATTTAATAAACTATATGCAAAATGATTTGACAAAAACTAAGAGTATTTTGATCATTTTATTCTTATTGAATGGAGTTTTTTCACAAAAATACCAAAATGATTGATGGTAGACAAACTCAGAGATCAATTCTATTAATTTCAAATCTCAGAGACCAAAAGGATAAATTATGTAAATCTCAATGACCATTTTGACTAAAAAAAACCCTCGTAAATATGCGTTTGGCACTGTCTAGGAAGACTGGTAGAGGTCAAAATAATTCAGGATTTTGTAGTCAAGTGGATTATCCACAAAAATAAATAAGAATAGGGTTAAACTCTGTTTACTACCATCATGTTTCGTGGTTTTCAACATTTAGTACATCAAGTTTTTTTCGTCCCAGAGTCATACCTAAAGTGTTAATTTTGGGACAGTTTCATACATCCGTTAGTCAAATTGTTAATTCTCCCGTTAAGTAATGACATGGCGCCCATATGGACAATGACTAGGCACCACGTGTCATTAAAAATATTAAAATAATTAATTAAATAAAAGTTATAAAAAAAATCCCTTCCCTCTCCCCCCTCCCCCGGCCCCAACCCAGAAGAAAAAGAAGGAAAAAAAAAAAACCGAATCTCCAACCCAGAAAAAGAAAGAAGAAGAAAAAAAAAAAACAGCAGCCCAAACCCAGTTCATCACCCCACCCCCCTCCCCCTGCGCATGCCCCATAACCGAGAATGCAACCCAAACCATGAACTCCATATTTGTGGGATTTTCAGTATGGGTGAATTTCGAAAATACTTTGAGATAGGGAGTTTGAGTTTGAAATGATTTTTGGACTGGTTTTGTGGTAGATCTCCATTAATCTAGAAATGACAAACTGGGTTTCTTTTTTTTTTCTTTTTTTCCTTCTTCTTCTTCTTCTTCTTCTTCTGGGTTCTTGTTCTTATTCTTCTTCTGGGTTGGAGGGGTAGGGGAGAAGGGGTGGGTTTTTTTTTTTTTTTAACTTTTATTTAATTAATTATTTTAATATTTTTAATGACATGTGGCACTCAGACATTGTCCACATGGGCGCCACGTCATCACTTAACAGGAGAATTAACAGTTTAACTAACGGATGTATGAGACTGTCCCAAAATTAACACTTTAGGTATGATTCTGGGATGAAAAACACTTGATGTACTAAATGTTGAAAACCACAAAACATGAGAGTAGTAAACAGAGTTTAACCCATAAAAATAATAATCCAACCAGAAAATGATCATCAAAGTGGCACCCAATTCCATGACGGGACTCAAAGTGAAGAAATTTTTCAGTATGCTAGAAATATAGTTCGGTATATCTAGTGTAATAAGTTGAAAACTTGAAAAATAAAATTTTACCTAATTGTATTATTACATTTGGTGTATTAGATCGTTTTTCCGACATTAAAAATTCTCTCCTCAAAGATAAGATACTCACCAAAGATGAAATTATTGATGCCTTCGAAACACAAGTCGATACATTACAAAATATTATAATATCATTACAAAAATAATAAAAAAAATTCTTTATATTATGACACGTGATGTACCATCCGGGTAGGTAGAAAAAATCTTCTAATACTGAGAGAGTGGGCGTCATCTTTAATCAACGTGGGTGTGGATTCAAAACGCCAAATTTGAATTTGTCAAAAAGTGAAGATTGTACAATTGGAACAGAAACATTATAATAGTTTAAGCCAGCGCAATTACTCAAAAGGCAATGAAAAATATGCCGTTGCAGTAATGAAGACCTTCAAATTATTAAACCGCGTGAAGATTTTTTTTTTTTTAATAATTACTTTATAATATTAAATAAAAATTTGTTGATTATTCAAGAGATTTACATCTAGAAGACAAAATTGGTCGTCAGACCATGAATTTTGTTGCAATTGGAGTTTTGGTACCTGAACTTATATAATTGAGTATTGATTTGTGAATTTGTCGATCATTTCGAATGATTTCTTTAGAACTTTCCTCTCTTATTTGTCCTTTGGTTTTTATCAAAAGCAGTTTTTAAATTGACCAAATTATTGTGATTTGATTAAGAGTGTTGATAAACTCACTCCACTATCTTATTTCTCTACCCACCTTTTAATAAAAAATTTAATACCAATTTCACTCTCTTGTAGAATTATATATACTAAAACTCAATTGAGTTTTAGCACTGTTCAGCAATAGTAAAAGGGGCGGAAATGCCCCTGATTCTTTGTTTGCGTAGCTGTTGTGCTACTGCTTTGCATAGTTAAAAGACGCATTTGCCCTTCTAGCCCACGCGTCTATCATCCGTGTGCTTTTTGTTTCCATCTTCTTTTTGGTTTTATCCTCTTATACACGTGTTGCTCACCGTTTCCCTTTAGGCTGCACTCATTGATCATCGTTAAAGGCTCTGCTTCGATTTCTTCGCGACCTTTTCTTCCGTGTTTCTTTTTCTCTCCCATAGCATTTTGCTTCGTTTTGAACCTGGCTTTCTTCCTCTCTCGCACTGCCCCTTTTCTTGTTGTCTACTGTTTCCGTCTTTGTCTCAGCGCGATCATCCACCACTATTTTTGTTGCTGGAATAGTCTTTTGCTCCTGCGAATTTCTTTGGTTCGAAAGCCTTAGGTGGCTACAAGTTTTTGCCATTTCGATTTCATCGAAATTCTTTTTTTTCCTCACGTGATCTAGCGTCTTCTGGTGAGTTTTAGGTCTTTTTCAGTGTGCCTAATTGATAGGAGCATATTCATGCGACTTAAATGGCTTGTTCTCGTGCATTTACGTTATGTTTCTTTAGTTATTTTAGTACTTTAAGCTATTTTCGTGTGTTTGTAGGTCCATAGGGCTAAAGGAGCAAAAAGATGCATTTTGGAGACTTTTGGAGCACTTTTGGGCTAAGGATGGATAGCTTATGCTTGGAGCCAAAGTGTTGGACGAAATTGAAGACCTAATTGAAGACCAAAGTGTTGGAACCTTGTTCTCTTTAGTTCTAGGACATTTAAACCTTTCCTATATCCATTGCACATGCATTCCTTTAATCCACATTCATCACCACTTCAACACATGCATCCATAATCATTTCTCCAAACCTTGCCGTGCACATCATCATAAACAATCATGCACTCCACATGCATTTCCACCTTTACAAGACCCTAAACATATCATCCACACAAATCTGCCATCATTCATACAAACACTACCCATGCCGTGCATCCCCTCACTAAGTAATCATTCAACATTTCATAAATGAAGCCATTCCACATGCATATTTAACCTAGCTGTCATTCCACTTCATTGCACATGCATCTTCATAAATCAACACATGCATTCACATGCTTTCACAACCTAATCCACATGCAATTGCATCACCCATTCACCACCAGAAATCACTCATTGCCGTGCACATTCACTCACCACAAACATTCCACATGCATTCATCAACATATCTAGTTGTCACTCACATGCATTTCCTTCATCATTTCCAACCCACATGTCCCTTTAATCATTCACACATACACCCATTCACCACCAGAAATCATCCTTGCTGTGAGTTCCCATCAGATTTCCATCATATTCACATGCATTCCATCCTTTAAAACATTGCACATGCATCCATAATCATTCATTCCAGCCAAGCCACATGCACTCCCTTTAATTAATTCATCCTAGCTGTCAAAGCACATGCACATTCTCCTTGCATTTCAGCCATTCCACATGCATTCATCATCATCACTCTAGCTTTAATTCACATGCACATTCAACATTCCAGAAATTCTCCCATGCCGTGCACATTCTCCTTTCATTTCTGTCAAAGCACATGCACTCCCACCCTTTAATCACATGCATAAATCAGCCACATGCATCTCCCATCACCATTTCAGATTTCCACCAAGTTCCTAGCTGTCATGTTCCCTCTTCTTCACCTATAAATAAGCATCCATTGCATTCATTCTCATTCACTTCTTCCATTTCAAAATGTAGACATCAAACCACCATTGCCGTGCTCTCCCTTACAATCCAAAAAACCATCTTCCATTTCCATCACTCCCCACTCCAATCCACACTTCCATCCCCCCAACCAACTATCCCTAGACCTTATGCTACAACGAAGAGGAAGAGAAGAGGGCCTAAACGTTCATACAATTCAAGTTTGAGTTGTTGGAATGTTTAGGTGTTTCTTTGATTTCAATGTTTAAATTCAATTCTCTTTGTTTTGTATGTTTGAGGAATGGATGAAAAGAGTGCTTAAACGTTCATACAATTCAAGTTTGAGTTGTTGGAATGTTTAGGTGTTTCTTTGATTTCAATGTTTAAATTCAATTCTCTTTGTTTTGTATGTTTGAGGAATGTAAGAAAAGAGTGCTTAAACGTTCATACAATTCACGTTTGAGTTGTTGGAATGTTTAGGTGTTTCTTTGATTTCAATGTTATAAAGAACTAAATCCCCTTTCTTCTTAATCCTATGTTCACTCATGTTATATATTTTTATGTCAAACCTTTTGTAAACATGAAGTGTAACTAATCTCTCTCTAGGGATTCGATGTAGCCTTGCAAGATTGCCATGTAGTTAATTCAGAATTCTCATTTAGTCTATCTATTTCTTGTTTCATTCTCCGATTTAATTGTGACTTAGTGTGTTGATTTTAATGCTTGATCATCATTTGAATTAACCACAGGTTGTTTAGCCAAGATTAAAGCACACATCATGCATAATCTTGGTGGATATGTGAATGAATGAAGGGAGTGTTTTGCAAACATCCTGCCGAGTGTTCCCTTTGGTTTTATGAAAGTTTCTTGTGCACTACATATTCTTGATTAGGAACCAAAGTTGCACATCACAATTAGGTTCATGATTAGAGACATTTGATCAAATCCACACATCATATGGTTGATCATATCTAAGTGAAACAAACTCAAGAAATAAGTAGATGACTGAGTATAAACTGATTTAACAAACATGGACTTGGTTTAGCATGGTGAAATCGAATCCCTAGCTTCATCTCCATTGATACTATCTCATTTTATTAGTTGTTGATTCATTTATTTGTGTTTACTTCATTTCCTTATGCTTTTAAGTTACAACAACAAATCTGCCTACATTGATTAGTTTTATTTCTCTAGTAAAGAGTTCTTGCAAAACAAGTAATTATATAGGTCCAATTAGTCCCTGTGGATTCGATTATATGCATATGTTCATGTGTGGATAAGGAACCCACTAACTAGTTTCTCATCATTCTTCGTTTTACAATCTATTTTGTTCCCAAGTATTTGTTTTGTTTTCAATTTCATCCAAAACCAATCCCCCTTTTCTTTGTTAAGTCATTTTAGTTAGAAAGTATCTTAGTTTGTGTTTTTAAGCATTTTGATTCATTCTATTACTCAATTTCGTCCAAAGTTACCAAAGTGCTCAAAACTGCCCAGAAAGTGATTTTAAGGCAGTTTTGAGTGTTTTGGGGCTGTTTTGAGTCTTTTGATTTGTTTGAGTGTTTTTATTGTTTAGTTTTGCATTCTTTGAGTCTAGTTTAGTGTTTCAAACTTTATTTTACGTTTTTGAGTCAGTTTCCAAGTGATTTTGCAATCCCTCCTAATCCCTGGTTAAGAACGATCCCTACTTACATTCTTCACTACAATTGACAAAAAGAGGGTTTAAATTGTGTGCGTATAATTCTCGCATCACTAATTTAATTTCTTTTTTGTGGTTTTCAATTTGCAGGTGGATTTGCTATGATCTTGCGTGTGATTTCGGGGTAAAATTTTAGAGCTTTTGTGTGCAGCGTTGGTAGCCCTTTGTGCTGAGTGTATACAATTTTTGTATTTCCCTTTTTTTTTTTTTTTATTTGGCTGGCCTTTGGTCTGCAGATACAAATTTTGTTTAAATTTTGGTTTTTTTTTCTTTTTTTTAAATTTTGGTTGTTTTGTTTGTGTGTTTAGATGCTTGATTTTCCGACAAGGTGATTCCGACCAATGACCAGAGAACTAGACCTCGCTACTATCGGTAAACGATTCCTCTTACTCCCATAACAAATATTCAGGTATTCTACATTGGATTTCATTTCATGTTTTAGAAAACAGACATGTACTTCTTTGATTCTACAGGTGAAGATAATACACAGGGTAACAGAGTACTCCGATACCTCTGAATAACAAGTCAACAACCCAACTCCAAACTAGCAAGCAACAGACCATCCCTAACCCTCACAAAGTCGCATGGGCCACCATTAGGAAGGCCCCTCCAAACCCTCTGCATCAGCATCCAAGTGAATCCCATTCATGCTCTACGTTACAAGTTCATTGTTATTTTTCGTAATATATTCTGATTTCTAGAACTGTAAATTCGGATGTGGAAATGAATTTTCTATGCAAATTTGGATATTTGGATGTTGGTTAAAATTAGGGGAATGGCTCCGATTTTGTTAGTCAATTAATTTAATTTTTTGTTTATCTCAAGCTTCTAAATGATTTCCTACATCATTGCTTAGTTTTACTCACTGAAATTTGAGGGGTGAATTTTTTTACCTTATGACCTCATTTGTGATTATCAAGTGCATAATTGTCTTTTGATCAGATTTCCTTTGAAGTGAATGCCAAACTGCAGTGTGATATTAAGTGTGATGTTCAAACTTTGTGGCCTTTTGAAATAAGTGGGAGCATAATTCATTATATTATAGATTGTTCCCCTTTCCATTTCCATGAGGTAAAAGTTCAAATCTCTGTATTTTTGTGTTGGAGAAATTGGTGGAACAAATTGTTCTTTACTCTACTTATGACCAATGTCTATGATTTTACCTATTTTGATAATGCTTGAATTATGCCTTTTGGTTTTTAATTGGGTTTTTGTGTAGTGAGTTGGATAGATAGTTCATAGCATAGGTTTGGTTGCATATTTATTGGTAAAAGAAAAACACGGAGAGGCACAACACATCGAGGACAAACTTTTTGCCTTCACGTTAGCACTACTTCTTTTTCCTACTAGTCATAGGTGTGCTAATAGTATTGAGAACAATGCCTAATTTAGTTTAACTCTTCCCATTTTGATAATTACCTTTTCCACTGCCTTCTCGAACTTGGAATTAGTTTGATAGCATTTTGGTTTTAAGCGTTTTTTAAAGTATTTCATTCCAATGAACAAGTAATTGATCTATTAATTCTTATTTTGTTGAAGATTTAGTGCTAAAAGTTAGGAGTTACAAGTATTACATTCCATTCACCAAGTCATTGATATATTAACTCTTATTCGCTAAGGATTGAGATTTTAACTCTTCTCATCTTTGCTGCAGTTATCCAATAACAAGAATAAACTTTCTCCATTGCTTCGCATGCTTCTACCAACAAATTGAAACCTAAACATTAAAATTTTATCACTATGATTTCACCCATTTATCATAAAATTGGTAGACATAACTTCATACCATCTCAGAGCAAAAATAAAGGTTTTAATTTTCTTTTACTCCATTATTGCTCATTCTCTGTTTACTTTTCCTTAAGTCTCCAATCAAGCTACCGTTTGTAAGTCCTATCAATCTTCAACTCAATTTTTTTATTACTAATTTTAATCATTTGTGTCAACTACTAATATCTTGGTATGTTAGTTTGCAAGCTTGTCCCTTCGAATTGTAAAATTTGGCAAATTATTTGAAGCAATTCTGATTTCAGCTTTTTGGACTTTACAAATAGGAAGATGAGGAGACAAAAAGAAGTACAAAGGGATGCATTTAGCTACCATTTTTATTAATTGTACATTTAATTTGATGGGTTTGATTTATATGGAAGGACTTTACTTTTATTAATGCATAAAATACTAATTAAATTTTAATTAAGATGCTAACTTTGTAGGTACCTTGGAATTAACAATGTAGCTGGAGTTCTCCACTGGCTTAAGCACAGTGGAGAACTCAAGTACAGATATCTCTATCTGTTCCTCAATCCTGAAACCTCTAGCCTCCGCAAGAAGGTTCATCTCATAGAAGACAAAGGAACAAGAGAAAAACAAAGGAACAATTTGGATGGTAGAGTTGTTTCTTACTAGGAATAACTTGAAGGGGAAATCCAATAATACTAGAAGATAAAAACTCATAGAAGACAAAAATGACATCTGAATTAAGACTAGAGACCGATAATATAAGGCATAAAATGACTTAAAAATCCAGTAGAATAAATAACAGCTACAAGATCAACTCATAGAAATTAGACTATTACAACTCCCAAAGCTCCTTTCACCATACTCTGCTGGCCTGCCCTGCTGCATCTTCAAAGATTCATTTCCCCCCATTGACAAAAAAAATAACTTTCACACCTAGAACTTAAAGACTTGCTCTAGAATTTGAACAAAATTATAGACTATACGAGTCTGCTTTAGGAATATAATATTGACATTGAAATTAACTTGTTTCATGCCGATTTAAGACTCACATTCAAAATTGAACACCATCCTAATCTCTACAGTCACTAAAACAACCTATATACATGATAGAGACTCGAGACTTACATTGAATTTCGGCAAAACCCCAAATTGGAGAAGTCTGATCAGTCACTAAAACATCCTAATTTTATAAATTTTTATTTTGGGAACATAATGAAGAATTGAAATTAACTTGATTCATGCTGATTTTTATACTATTTTCAATTTTCTAAAATGTGGATAGAATGCATGTAGAGTTTCAAAGCTTCAATTATTCTGCAACTCATCTTGGTTCCTATTTAATCTGCATCCCCCATATACCCATTCTCTAAATTCCCTAGGTTCTTGTCTAGACACTGATGAACAAGAATCCAAAATTTCCAATAATACTCAAATAATCCAAAATTTTCAATAATACTCAAATAATCAATTAGAAAATTACATACTTTGAATTCCTTAGCGGCGAATTTCAGCACGGCAACGATAGGGGCAGTTCCAAAACAAGTTATTCTCCAGCGAGGTGAGGTGAGGTAAGGTCGACAGAGTGACTGAGTGAGGGTGACTGGGTGAGGTCGAGGACGACGGTGAGGTTACTAAGGTGAGGTGTGAGGTCGAGAGAGACTGAGACAAAGTGATTTGAGTCTTCGAGTCTAAGTTAGGGTTTATTTGGATTCAACAGTTGAGATTAAATCTCAACCACATCGGATGGCTATTACAATTCCAAATATAAATTTAAAATTAAATAATATATATTTTTTATTTCGATTCGGTTTGGGATTACAGAACAAATGCAAATCTGAGACCCATTCCCATACTGAATTTTCAGGATTGATTCGATAATGGGTACTGAAATTTTCGGGATTTTCGTTTTGGGATTTTTTCGGTTCGGTTGGAATTTTCGGTTTTTTTTTCACCCCTAAAAATAATACACTGGGGGGTAAATCTAGTAGCACTCTTGATTAATATCGTACTTGAAAAATATTCCTAACTCCTTATTTTCGTCATTGAAACTGAAAATTGATTAACATCGTACTTGAAATTTGATGTACCAAATCAATGTTCACCTTCCGTTTTGAATTCTATTCGTGTGCTGACATGCACACTTGTAGACCCACATGTCCAATTAAATCAATTTTCAAAGATAATTTTAAATCATGAAAATAATAACAATGAATAAAAAACCAAACTTGCCGAGCTCGGTTACGTGGGCTTGTGACTAGTGGGGCATTAAAGGTGTTGGGGACGTACAATAAAAAAAGAGAAGCTTGGCTCCTTAAGATTGAGGAGGAGTTCCTACTCAAAACACTTTGTGGTCAATTTTTGTGTCAATTAACAAAACTTTGTGCTTATGGTTGGAACCGTTCATATTATAAATCACTCTGTAAAATCATCTTTGCCAAAAATCACCTAAAACTAAGTTTGTTAAGTCAATCAACTATAGTAGATGGTTCGTAATAGTTTTATTGATACTTACCATTTATTTTTGTATAGTTTGATCATAGTTTTGTAATTTTTTGTAGAGAGGATCCTTACATGATGATTTATAATATGAACGGTTCCGATCATAAGTATGAACATAAAGTGTCGTGAATTGGCCACGAAGTATATTGAAGAGGAGTTCCTCTTCAATCTTTGAGAAGCCAAGTCTTTTCCAAATAAAAAACCAAAACTTACATCATTCCTTGCAACTTAGAATCCCATACCCCTTCCTCAACAACCTAGCCAATCACCGGCACACTAACTACCACCACCTCTCTCTCTCTCTCTTCCCCGACTGCCCTCGTTAGCAGCCATACCCACAACCATGGTTGGCCACAGGCTGGGTTGGGCCCAAATTTGGAGGAACCAGACCCTACCCGTTTTAAAATGTAACGGGGTGGGTTGGGTTGGGGAGGGATTTTGAGTTTTGGAACTGGACCTAACCCAGCCTATTTCAAACGGTTGGTTCAAGGCGGGTCCACGAGTCTAAGTACTTTTTTTTGTTTTTTTGCTTTAGGCATACTGCCTAAGTCTTTTTTCTTTCTCCTCTTCACATCATCTTCATTCTCTCTCTATCTCTCTCTCCCCTCTTTCCCTCTACCAAATGAAAAATTAAAGTAACAACCACCATTTTTCGACAACATCACCTAGGCCTCTGCCACTGCCGATGTCTTTAACTTCAATCGTCTCTCTGTCTGCAACTTCAGTCATCTCTCTGTTTGCAACTTCAATCGCCCTCAACACCACAGCTTCACGATTCAATGATAGGTCTCTACCTTCTTATTCGCACTTTCTTGTATTTAGTTCATTGGATCTAATGGTTTCTTGACTTGCAGGTGTCGAGAGGCAATAAATCTTTGATATTGTCAACATTTTGGACTTGGGACTTAGGAGAGAAGGAAAATGAGTCGAAGAGGCTTTCGAGTTGGGAGCTGAAATGGCTAATTAAGGAGGGTTGAGAAGATAAGGTTTGTGGACCAGAGGTCGTTTTGGTGAATCGATGATGTCGTCAAGGAGAAGAGTGGGAAAAGATGAGCCGAGTGGGAGTCTGGAAGAAGAGGGAGAGACTCGGTCACTTGGAGAAACAAATCCAATCCAACGAGTAAGATTGGATGATTGTTGATCATTCCATTTTAGAAACGGGCCGGTTTGGTGCCCCGTAATTCTAAAGATTTGGACCCACCTCGCCCCGTAAATACCACCACCCACCCTATACCAGCCTCGACCCGTAGGTCCTTGACCCGTTTGCCCACCCCTACCCACAACCTCTCCCGCCCTTGCCTCTTCAACACAACCTAGCTGCCTAACAAAAATAAAAGCTCAACAACAATGATACAACCTATAGATTTGTTGAATCTCAAGATGTGGTTTGGCAACGGCGTATTTAGTGCATCAATGCTCTCCTAAGGTCCTTTTTCTGAGCACCTGTAAGGACCTCTTTTATATGAGTCATAGGATTAATCTTACGGTAAAAAAAATTTATGAGTTTATATAAACCTATTACACCTAAACAAAATCAAAACATGCTAACAAGCTTCACACTCATCCTTCTTTCCTACTTCGCGAGAGA